ATGTAATGGAAGGCTAAGGAACTTCGAGCCAGTCATTTTGATATATGTGGAACTGTCAATAATTCATTAAATAAAAACCACCAGTCAATATACAATGTAAATCTATAATTGCTTGACAAAATTTAGTCTCATTAATAATCATTAATATTATCATTATTATATTTATTATTTTTAGAGGATACCTTATTCTACAGCTGGTTTCTACACTGGAAAGAAGCCACAGAAGGTAAGACTATACAAGAAATAATTATTGGCAATTCTTCTGATCTACTTGTCACTCAAATACTAACACATGTACATGTACAATGTGTAGCTTAAAATGTGATTCTAAAACATTTTATTTTACATTTTCTTTTGAGTTGTGACCATTTTTTAAAAGTAGCAGGTTTTTGGTAAAAAGCAAAGACTATAATAGTCCATGGTTTTTTCTGAAAAAGGCTCCGAAATCACCCCCAGATTGTTGTTGTTTATTTATTTATTTTATTTATTAATTTTATTATTTTATTAATTTTATTATTTATTAATTTTTATTTATCATTGTAGAATGAAGCAACATGGAGTGACTCCCTCAATGATGTTGATATTAATAAAGAATGTGATGACACATCAACTGAACAAAGCACTAACAGTAAAGAAGACAGAGAGAAAGAAAGAGAACAAGGTAAAGACTGTACTATATCTATTCCCATTGACTAGTAGTATTTTCATATTATGCTCTGTAGAAAGTTTGAATTGATTCAGACCTCAATTTTTAAAGTTACGGCCATTTTAAGAAAATGCCAAAATTCTGAAAATTACCCAAGGCTATAGCCCATGGTTTTTTTGGAAAAATGGCTCCGAAATCACCCAAAATTTTTATTACATTTTCTGATGCATATTGATGTCCTTATACTGTATAGAAAGTTTGAGCTGATTCCAACTTCAATTTTTCAAGTTACGCCCATTTTAAGAAATTGCCAAAATTCTGAAAGATACCCAAGGCTATAGCCTACAGTATGTTTTTTTCCAAAAAATGGCCCCAAAATCACCCAAAATGATGCTTAAAATAATTTGCCTTTTTCATATTCTATACCACACACACACTCATAATGATGCACATGTACATATTTATAGACGGAGATAAAGATACAGCACTAACTAATGACAGTCTTGAGGAACAAGTAGAAGAAGAGGAGAAGGAAAGAAGAGAGGAAAGAGGAGAGGGAGAGGATGATGATGATAGTTGGATTACTCCTGATAATTATCAGTCAGTGTGTGATGGTATTGGTGGATTGATGGAGGAGACTATTGATGAGATATCTGTTGGTTGTATGACCACTGACTATGCTATGCAGGTAATATTCACTAGCAATTACTGTGGTTTATTAGAGGGGCTTACTCAATGCAGTATTATTAGCATACATGTACATGTACATTTGGTTGATGTATTCATGTATAGATTTGGTATAAAAATATTCATGTACATCACCTACGTCTGTAATGAATTTGTATACTGTATACAGGGGCATATCCAGAAACGGAAAAAGGAGGGTGCTGAGGGCACACGAAGTGCTCCGCGATTTTGGCCACACCCCTTTTTGCGGCGGTAAAATGGCGTTTTCCTTCATTTTTGTGAATTACGGGTGGGGTCAAAATTATTTCAAGCATCTAGTACTTCTGACAACTTCTGATTGCTCCTGAAAGCACTGGAAACTGCTGAAATAATGATCAGGGGGCTAGATAACTTTGTTAAGAGGCTTGGTAGTGATGCAAAAGTCCAGGATTTGATCAATTTTTTTCTGAGCCCAGCCATGAGGGAGGTGCTCAAGCCCCCCTTAGCCCCTGCTGGATACGCCCCTGGTATAGCAGGAAATTTTGGAAGGAATTAAATTTTGTGAATTTGGCATTTTGATGGTAATTAATTTTTAATAAGACTACTATCAATTTTTTATCCCTCCTACATGTACATGTACTTGCATTTCTTTTTTCTCTCCCTCTATTCTTTCTTCCTTCCCCCCTCCCTCCCCCTCCCCCCCTCTCTCTCTCTCTCTCTCAGAATGTCCTATTACAGA